GGGATGATCTGTATGGCATGGACAACTTCCCTGTCTACGACTCCTGAGGGCTCCTTGAACAAATCAGGTACTTAGCGACGATTGTCTCTATCTCTGGGGGTGTTTTAACGGCCTCCCCTTTCTCAGAGACATAGACTAAGTACATTCCTTTCTCTTGGTTCTGTTTATAATAGTTATAGAAGGCAGATGCTCATAAGCATCCATAGGAGTCTATTAACCTACTGGCTTTATACTTAGCCAGTCTAACGGTCCTCCCATTAGGCAACTCGTGCTTCAACACCTTCTTGTCCCAGTCAAACTGGGGTTTGGCAACCTCAAGGCAGTACATGCCCAATAACATGTCAAAGGGCAAATCGTCGCTCACCAGGAATGATATCTTATGGCTTATCTCTCCTCCTGGGTAGGAGAAAGTGCAGACTACGTCCTTAACATAGTCCTCCAATGTCATGTGCTCCTTGTTGGCCAAAGTAGATGCTACCGGTCTACAAAGGCGCTGCACCCGGTCATGTAGGCGCAGTCTATCAACGCAGTCGCGACTTATGAAGTTTCGCGTGGAGCCAATGTCTACGAAGGCGCCGCACTTGCGACCACCTACACCAACTTCCACAACGAAGTGCTCCCCTTTAGGACCTCTACTTAGTGCCACCCAGGACTCACAAGGGTCCCTTGCCGACCACTCACCTTGAAGGTCCTCTAAGGCCTCAGATACATGCAACGTACAGAGCATAGTTGGGTTTGGATGCGTCTGCGGGGTGACTAAGGAGTCAATAGCTTCGGCCAACTCTTGAAACGGGGAGGGTACATCACCCGCTTCAACGAGAGTAGAAGCAGCTACAACTTCTACCGACCCTAAGTGTTTCCCGAGTTGGAGCTCGTAGAGGCCCTAGACCGAGAAGAAGGGAACCCACCCTGAGGAGGGATCTTCTATAGGACCTTCGGGTTCTTGCAATTAAACTGAGTATGGTCGTACTCGCCGCAGTTTATGCAAGCACCACGCGACCAACGGTCCCACCACACTTCCTGATCCAAACCAGCCCTTACCGAAGCAGCTATTTTGTTTGGGTTGGCGGCTTGCCCCTGATTCCTCTGTTGACCGCCCTTGCCGCGACCAACTGCCTTAGTCTTAACCGCGGCGGCGAGGTTGCTACCCTCAACAATCTCCTCGCCATCTAACTCTAATCCCTCCACAAACTCAGAAACGTCATCGATCTCAGTTTGATTCGCTTCAGAATCAACCATCATCAATCAACTTCCTTTTTTCTTCCACTCTTGTGGAGCTTTCTTCTTTCTTCCATCCGTAGAGGGGGCTTGAGCACTACCCAACGTAGCCTCTAAGTCTAGGGCCTTCTTGCTGAATGACTCAAATGTATGATACTCTCTACGAGCCTCACTGGCTAATAAGTTCTTAATGTCTGTGGGAAGACATCTCAAGAATGTGGTCAACAAGACCTGTGGATTGTACTCTACTCCTGGGACGACAATCAGGCGCTCTACGGCCGTGGACAACTCTCTCACCGACTTGTACTTACTAGCATCAAGCTTTAGTAGCCCATCAGTGCCAATCTGTGCCTGTTGAGGGTTGTGCCATCGAGCGTAAGTCCAAAAACTCTCTAGGGTGTGGGTCTGCGCCCAGTCACCCATGTTCCTGCCGAACCCCTTGGAAGCTACCAATCCATTAAGCCAACGGGCTGCTGAACCCTCTAAATAGGATGTAGTAGTTATCACCTCCTCCTCTACCAAAGTCCTCTTTGCCCTCACCCACACTGCAGTCGTTCTCAACCACGTGTCAAGAGCCTCATCCTTCTTGTCTCCTGAGAAGATGGGAGGTGGTTTCAGAGGGGTCTTTGCTGTCCCGATGGCGAGACAGGTGGCGACTGTGATGTAGCTCCAGTCGCTGGACCAGAAGATGAAGAAGCAACAGTCTGTGATAGCGCTGCTGCTACCGCTTGGTTGCTGCCCAGACTGAGCGGCATAGGGGCCTGTCATCGCTGATAATGGAAGCAATGGCTTAGTTGTTGTCCGAATCCCCGGCCTTTGTAAGGCCTGCAGGATCTGGTCCAGGGTGTCCTCCATGGCGTCCATTTTGCTCTCCGTGTACGCCTGCATGGACATGACGCTTGCCTTCAGAATCTTTCCTGTAGAGTCAAGGGTCGCGTTGTCTAAACCCTCTAGTGCAGCTAGGTCTGCCTCCCGACTCTCTAGTCTGGTTCTTCTCTCTCTAATTTCTTTGTCCTTCTTAGTAGCATATTTGAGTTCCTCCGCTAACCTCAGGCGGATCCTCTCTACCTGCCGGAGCTCCATCTGCTCCCTTAGAAGATGAGGCGGCAGGCTAGACTGCACACCCGCCATCTGACTAGCACCGACATCTGACGTATTGGAGACTGACTGCGAGCTGGTCGAATTGGACGACATGCCCAGACCAGAAGTTGTTGCAGACGTTGCTGAAGCGGTAGCCATTGCTACGCCGCAAGTTGCTGCTGCTTTCCTTGCAGCCTCAAGATTACGGGCCCTAGCTTCGGCCCTTAGTCCTCCTTTCTTCTCCCGGTTGTAGTGCCTGGAACACTCTAGGGGTTCTAAGCGATGATAGCCTTGTTAACCTCCTAGTGTCAGCTACACCTTCATCCCCGACTGATCCACTCATTGGCTAGGCAGACACTGTCTGCACTAGAGTCCTCTATGGGACCTACCGCAACATGCGTCTGACTGGTGCTAAGAATACATAAATAAATAATCACCCAGCGAGTCACCTCCGGCTACTATTCAAGCGGTATCAATAACACCTATAGAGACTATACACGTAGTCTACCTCTATCCTGATTAGTTATGAACAAAAGCTTTGAGAAGAACTGATTATGGTAGATTACAGTCCTACTCTAGGCTGTCTGTTAGGTGTCAGCAGTCTGTCAACCAACTAATCAAAATAAAAATAGACTAGGTGAGCAGATGTATGCAAAATGGTCAAAATAGTGATGGTCAGTTGAGTTCACAATTGGAATCCCCTTCCCCTGTATCCAACGTACCTGTGAGCATCATCAAGCTGCGGTGTCTAAGATGTGCAACCACGGCCCACCCCTGTGCCCAAGAAGTATGCTTATGACCAGTCCTGCCCTTTATTTACCCTCGCGTGCAACGAGCCTTACGTCTGACTAATCTGGCTGATCAAAAGGCAATTTAAGGACAGCCCCCGAGAGTCCTCATGAATTCTTTAACGTCGCAATCAGGACGACGATCACAGTCAGTGGACAGTTCAGACCCCAACCGGAAATGTTTACAGACAGTCTGGGAGCATCTACGTAGAACTGGTCAGTCCGCACACCCCTTCTATCAGCACAGCAAAGTGCCTGAATGGACAAAGCAGCATGGCCTGCGTGTACTAATACCCATGAGTTGGCATGGTGACTCATGCTTTGACCAGGGCCCTTCAGAGGCACGGCCCTCTCCTGCCAAATGCGCCACCGGGAAGAATGTCGTCTCTCAAGATAGAGCGCACACGACTCCTTTCAAAAGAAAGGACACTCAAGTTGGACTCACTTCCTCATGGTAAGAAGAGATTGAGAGGGTAGATAAGGAATGGGAACAACATACCTGGAGATAGCTGCCCCCAGCCACAGATTTCTCACCAATTGGGCTGACGTGCATTTCGATGACCGGTCCAATAGCCTCGGTACCACTCACAACGCAATGTAGTGCCACCTCAGCCAAAATGCCACGCCAGCATACTATCATCATCATGCATTCATCCGTTGTCACCACAACTTCCACGCTGTTGCCACAGCTCCCACGCTGTCGCCACAGCCTTCCAGCGGCCGGCCCCTCTACCTGGGCCCCGCTACTCAAAACCAGCGCCAAAGTATCCTTACTGCTCATGAAGCATCGTCAGCGCACCAAGTAACAATGTCGTCGGCGCCAGGTACGCGGCGATCACGAACCAGCTCTGATACCAAATTGCAAGGAATATGAGTGTGAACGCTATACAGAAAACCAATGTTGCGAAATCACACAGATGTCAAGGTAGTCATATCCAATCAGAGAGTACACAATGCACCGAGAAACCATCCATATAGAGCAATACAATGAAGTAATGAGCCAATGTTCAAGCCCGTAGGCCACACCAGCATAGAATCCAAAATCGCTCCTCTCTGTCTGGTGCCCAGCGCCCAACCTACTTTGCCCGACTATCCCTACAGCTGGTTCACGCGACAGGCTCACTTCAACTCTTGAAGACCAATGTACATGACTGTCAACTCCATAGCTGACCTCTGCTTCATGCACCAGGTACGTGTCTCGTCACCCTCAATCAGACCTTGATAACCCCACTCTGCGCCGCCTTCCCTGAAGACCACCAGACCACCCGCTATACCCCCTGGCGCCAGCAGCCAGGCTATGGCCGCCTGTGCCCCGCTGCCCTGCAGCACCCCTCCTTCACCACCTCGCGCCCCGTCAGCGCCTTTGGCAGCAGCGCAGCATCAAGCAAGAGCGCAGCAGCACTTCCGCATTGCCAGCACTGGCCAGAATGCCTGGCCTGAGCTGCCTTCCTCTTTTTGTGGAAGTGGCAGCCTCCTGGATGCTGCGTGTGGCCTGGCTGGAAGCTTCCAGTAGCTTCCGGTTGGGCCTCAGAACCTGTGCCCAGGCCCGAGACTACAGTTGAGGGCCTGGGCCCTTTACAGTTGGGCACGGCCTGAGTCTCTGGACTTGTGCTGTTTGCTGCATCTGTGCAGGGATCCCAGGCAGGTGTGTCGGCAGTACTGCTTTTGTCAAGGCCGACGGCCTGCTTCCCAATGTATCGGCCCTGCTTTGTGTGTATGTGCCCAGGCGCAACTGTCAAGGCCTGGGCCAACTGTATGACGCAGCTTTGTGAGGCTCACGCGTCTACCCAACCAACTGGCGTGCTGTAAGAGCCTGAATACCCACACATGGAAATGCCAAATTTTGCCTCTGACGAATATTCAGGCCCACCTTCACTTAGGGTGGGCACTTGGCTTGCTGGGGGCCTTAGTCCAGATCATGTGATGTCTGATAGGGCCCCTTGAGGGCTCGTTCCTCACACTTAGATCTCTTCCATCTCTTCTCTTGTATGGTTCTGCTCTATTCCTGCCTCTGGTATGACATGGACGCTGCCCACCATGTCAATCAGAAAAGAAAACTACCGTTTTCTCCCAAAGTGAACATCCAGCCAATACAGCTGTATTTGGTGCAACTTTCAGTCTACATACAGCGATATTGACCAGGTGCTCTACTCCAGTCAAAATGGTAGGGGGTTGTTTTTTATCCACCACGACGAGCTTTAACTCCTTTGGCAGTTGAGCTTTTACTCCTGTTCTTTAAAAAAAATGTTGTTTTTTATTTCGGTGAAGGTGGTGGTCTTTTTATTCACCATGAGCTTCAACAGCCTTTTCCTAATTCATACACTGCCAGTGACATTCCAGCGCAATCCTAACAGCTGCATTTCAACTCCTTATTGCCACTGCTTTACCTAGTACACCTTAACGCCCGCCACATGGCTACCTTCTTACCTCTACCTAATTCCCTCCCTAAACACGAACACCTGGTCTTTATGACTGCATCTAGCCAGGAACGCTGCTCATATACAGTCACACAGACAGGGCTCTGAGCGCACTAATTAACTCCGTCAATCGTGCTGTTCATTTTTAAGATTGATAATGAGGATTACTATTAATGACAATTGCGAGGTGAAAGAGTTCCTAGTACTTCCTACCCTTCAATCCTCCTCCACTATGGTGAATGAAAAAACAAAAGAAAAACAGTTCTCGTGAAATTCTCACAGAATAAATACTAAACAACCATTAAAAAAAAAGAAAAAAATCAAAAGAAAAACAGAATACATAGCGCTCACAGAATAGCAGCACAATTTGCAGCGCCACAGAATAGCAGCACAATTTGCAGCGCCACAGAATAGCAGCACAATTGCAGCGCCACAGAAAAGCACCAGAGAAGCGAAGTATTTCAGGACATCACACTCTTTACAGAAATGGAGCGATACAGAGAAGAAAGATTAGCATGCCCCGGCACAATTAATAATCATTTAAATTCATTATGAGACGCACAAACCAAGAAATGAGCCACATTTTTTTATTATAAGAAGGAAAAAATTCAAAGAAACAAGGGGGGGGGAAGGAAGAAAACCAAACAGAAGGGCAGCAGAAGAGGAGCGGCATATACATGCTGCGCCTGCACACGAGGGCCATTTTCCAGGCCCTGCGTCCCTCAGGCTGAAAGCCTGAAAAACAGGGCCTACAGGCCCCGTGTCTGTTCAGCTCGAAAGCCTGAAAAACAGGGGCCTACAGACCCTGTGTCGTTTCAGACTAAAAATGGCAGTAGCCTTTTTAGCCTGAAACGAAGGGCCATTTTCGGTCTTTCATCAGACCGACCTGCCCTGAAACTCAGGCACCAAACCAGGGTTTTAGGAACAGGCTATTTTTGGCCTGTTCCCACGACAGCTGCAGCGCCAGACCCTGGCTCAGTTTGGCATTGGCAAGAGCAGCCTCCTGGACTGCCCGCCCTGCAACTGCAGGCAGTCGGAGGCAGTCAGGAGGCAGGCCGAGGTAGTACATAGGGACTTCCCATGCACTTCACGGTGGTATCAGAGCTGGTACCCGCTATTCCATGCGCAGCGTTGTGTGTCGCAGGGAGAGTGATGCGCCATAGTTGAGGTGGCCACCGAGAGAAGAAGTCCGCCATAGCGGACCTGGAGGTTGGAGAAGCCGCCGCGCACACCTGCACAGAAGACCACGACGAAGAAGAAGACCGAGAGAGAGGGAGAGCGAGAGAGAGAGGGGAGAGAGAAAGGTTGAGCGATACAAGATTGGCTTACCACGTACCTGCGTCGAAGACATCGCTACGGCGAGAAGAGAGAGAGAGAGAGAGGAGAGAGATGAGAGATACAAGTTTGGTTGTCACTTACCTGTGAAGTGCGCCGTGCAGTCCCACGAGGAAGGAAGCGGCCATAGCCGCGAAGCTTGCACCATGGAGTGACGAACAAGGAGGACGTGAGAGAGGACAGAGGGGGAGACCGAGCGGAGTGAAAGAGGCCATAGCCGAGGAGGTGAAGGGAGAGACGGACAAAAAAAAAAAAAAAAGAGAGAGAGAAAGAAGACAGACAGGATGCAGAAGAAAGAGGCGAGGTGAAGAGAAGGAAGGAGAAGGGTGATAAGGAAGGAGGAGTCGGCCGCCATAGCCGACTGGAGAGTTGACCAGGCGTTGACCGGGCGTTGGCCGGGTGTGACCGGGAGTTGACCAGAGGTGTTGACCGGGGGTTGACCGGGGGTTGACTGCAGCGTTGACCAAGAGTTTGACCAAGCTGGAGCCGGTATATTCTCGCCAAGCCTTCAGCCTATCCCCTCGCCCTATGGATGTGCACACAACCTGTGGTACTTGCTGAGTCAAGTCTGTCTGTCTCTTCTTTCTGCATCGAGTCTCTTTTGTCCAGGTGTAGGACTCCGTGTATGAAGGTAGCGCCTAGTTGACCAAACCCCTGCCGTGCTGAGTAGGGCTAAAGACTGTGTCTGACGACTCGACTGTCCCGGAGGACACGAACCCTCCCAAGGACCGGTACTGACCGGCGGGCTGCTCGGTGTGGCACGTAGGCCCGAAATCTGAGTTGTGGGCTACACAACAGGCCGTCTAAGTGTTGAGAAGACCTGCTGATCGCGTCGTCCTGTCTGCGACGTTAAAAAATTCATGAGGAGTTACGGGGGATCTCCTTAAATGCCTCCTGATCAGCAACAGGTCTTGTAGTGACAGCCTTAGAGTAGGTCTAGGCTAGAGACCCTAGTTGACAGGATCCCTGTCCGGATTCTGTGAGTCTTTAGATTGAGTCAGTAAGTTTGTTAGTCAGGGGTTAGAGTCTAAGTGGTGAGGTTTGGAACCGTTGACCCGATTGTACAATTATCACCATGGTTGACACCCGTAGTGGAAAGAGTACTAGCCCCTATACTCCGGCTCAACAAGAGCAGATGGCCGCCCTAGTGAGAGAGAATAGGGAAAAGAAAGAGCTCCTGAAGCAGGCAAAGTTAAAAGCAATCGCAGAGGAGCAGGCGCCAAAAAGGAAAAAGTTGGAGGAGGAGATGATGAGGGTTCAGCGGGAGGAGGAAGAAAGAAGAAAGGCTGCTAAAGAAGAAGAAGCAGAAGAAGAAGAAGAGGAAGAACGCCTTCAAAGGAGACGTAGAGAAGAAAGAGGGGAGAGCAGTGGCACGACGGAGGAAGATGCAAAAAATGGAGAAGAAGATCAGTGAGTGGGTGACAAATTTGTCTCTGGGAGAAGATGAGGAGGCGCAGCTGTATGTGCCACAGGAGGAGAAGGAGGCGTTTCCCAGGGCTTTGGAAATGATAGATGACCCCCTGGAACGTCAAGAGACAGAAGATGAGAAAAAGTTGGAGTGGAAGCTGCGCATGAAAAGGGAGAAGAAGAGAAGGAGGGAGGAAGCTGCCCGATTGGCCGCAAGAGGTGGAGAAAGAACGGTGGTGTAGACAAGAGGTGCATGCCCAAGCGGAAGTACCCACGAAATTAGACAAGATCTTAGGGTATCTAGAGGTACTAAACGAGGCGTGGTTGGAGGAACGGCAAAGCAACAGGGGTCACGATGTGGCCCTGCAGGCCATGCGGGCTGGCTTTAGAGAGTTTGCGCGCGACGTGGTGACCCACGTCGGGGCCGAAGTGAAAGGATTAAAAGAGGGCGAAGGAAGTTCTATGAGGGCGCCATTGAGGGCGCCAAGGTAGTAGCCACCGCTGAGAGCGAGTCTACACCCCGCAGGGAACCAGTCAAGCTGAAGTTCCCAGATGCCTATGGCGGGAAGTCTGACGAAAAATTCGATAATTGGGACGCAAGTGTCAATACGTATGTTCATTCACAACAGATTGCGCAGGACGATCAGGTCCTCGTTGCCTTCCAGGCTCTCAAGGACGAAGCGGCTAGTTTCGCTAGGTCCCTCGCACGTGCAGCCGGTTGTGAAAACAACACGGTCGCTTACTCCAAAGTCACCCCCCTCGCTCAATTCTTCAAGCTCCTAAGGGAGCAATTTGCTGATCTGCGAAGAGGCGTTAGAGCCTCTGATAAACTCCAGACCATCCACTCACGGCAGTGGAAGAGTGCAAGGGCACTCAAAGTTGTCATGGACGACCTGGTGGCCGTCCTGGACCATGGGGTTACTGAGTCCCAACAAGTCCAACTCTTCTATTGTGCCATGTCGGAGCCCTTACGAGGGCACTTCGTTGACAAGTCCCAACAACCCACTATGACGTATGATGCGCTGAGTAGAGAAGTGGTGCTGTTCGAGGCAAAGTCCATGCCAGTTTCCACTTTCTGGCATAAGGACTTAGACAAGGGTAAAAAGTGGAAAGGGCGTACCATCTCAGGCCAGGTGAGGGCCAAGGATCACATGATCCTTACATTGGAGGAAGGTGGTACTGATGAAGTCCCCTACAGTCAGATAGAGCGGGGGCTCGAGGAGGAGGACAGTAGCGTAGGACAGGGGAGGTCTTATGCTGCTGTAGCGGCTGGAGGGAGGCCGCACGACAGAGGAGGCCAGGGCCAAAGGGGCAAGGCCACGGGAGGCCGAGGATCGAGCGCACAGGGGGTTGGCGGCCCAAAGAGCCGTCAAGAGGGAGGTAGGGGTCAAGGTCCCCTGCCAAATCGTCAAGGTCCCAGTCGGTCCCCGCAACGTAGAGGTGGAGGTTCACCTCAGAGGAGAGGAGGATGGCATCCCGGTTGGCCACAGGGACGACCATGGGAAGATTTTGGCCTAGATCAGAAAGTATGGCAACAGCGTATGGAACAGGGTCAGTGCATTTATCGCGGTGACCCTGCCCATATTATCAAATATTCTCCTAAGTACAGACAGGCCCGGTGGGCTGCCCATGAGTCAAAAGGCAGCCGCCGGTAGGGGTTGCAACTGCCCCTACTTCTAGGCCATGTGGGGAAGCGAGCGCGCGCACAGAGGACACTCCCACACCACATGAGCCTTCGGCAGAGGTTGCAGGCCAATGCCTAGTTAGCTGTCCAGAGACTGCTTGTGTTAGCGTCTCTCTAGGCACTTCCCTCACAGGCGTGGCAAAAGAATTGAAAGAGAGAATGCTTGCCTTGGCCAAGATGAAGAAAGATAGCAAAGGGCAGCTAGTGTTAGTTGATGTAGAGGTGTTTAGGGGTAGAGAAGGGACCCTTATAGATTCGGGGGCCACCCGTAGTTACATTAGCCGTAAAGCGTTGAAGAAGCTAAGGCTAGGGTTAAAGGTCCAGAAATTGAAAGACCCCATAGTCAGTGGCCTCGCAGACAATAGTACAATGCGAGTTGAGGACTACGTAGAAGGAGTCCAAGCGTATTTTCGCAGAGAGAAAGATGGGAAGGTAGAGAGAGTTCTCCATTCCATGACTCTCCTCGTACAGGATAACCTTCCGTTTGATATAGTCCTAAATATGGACTGGGGAGAGGCAGCAAGGGCCACACTCCACTTGAGAGAGCATGAGTGTAGGCTCCCTAGTCCGTCAGGTGAGGTCAAGACTGCCCGCCTGTTCCATGTGTTAGGTGTAGACAACACCTTGGCAAATTGCTGTCTCAGTGCTCCCGCGTTCACGCGACTAGTCAGAAAGGAGCAACTGGAAGATGAGGTCTTTGTAGTATATGTTAGACCTGTCAGTGAGCCTAAGGAAGGGGATAGTTCCACAGATCCAGCCATTGCCAAGCTGCTGGAAGAGTTTAAAGACTTAGCCGAGCCGCCGACAGGAGTAGTGTCGCGGCCAATCCAGCACAGGATAGAGATAGAGCCTGGCAGTAGAACTCCTGGGGAGCAGTCTACAGGATGTCCCTTAGAGAGTTAAGGGAGCTGCGCAAGCAATTAGACGAGCTCCTTGAGAAAGGTTGGATAAGGCCCAGTTCGTCTCCTTTTGGAGCACCAGTATTGTCGTCCCCAAAAAGGAAGGAGAGCCGAGAATGTGTATAGACTACAGGGGTCTGAATGAGATTACAGTTAAAAATGTTGAACCACTGCCCAGGATAGACGATCTCTTAGATCGGGTGCAGGGTTGTAAGTATTTTTCAAAGATAGATTTGAAGTCCGGCTACCATCAGATAGAGGTCCATCCTGATGACCAGTACAAGACTGCGTTCCAAACTCGTTATGGCCATTATGAGTTCATAATGATGCCCTTTGGACTAACTAATGCGCCAGCTACATTTCAGCGTTGTATGAACGATCTGTTCAGGCCTTGGTTAGATAGATTCGTCGTAGTATATCTAGACGATATCTTAGTATTCAGTAGGACCCTCCAGGAGCACCAAGGTCATTTGAGGCAGGTCTTGGAGAAGTTGAGGAAAGCTAACTTCAAGATCAATGCGAAGAAGTGCGAGTAAGCCAAGACACAAGTTTTGTACTTGGGCCACATGTTAGACAGAGATGGCATTAAGCCAGAGGATAGCAAGATAGCGGCAATTCGAGACTGGCCGACGCCCCACACGTTGACAGAGTTGCGGTCGTTCTTAGGCCTAGCTAACTACTATAGGAAGTTCGTGAGAAACTTCTCGACTATCGCCGCTCCCCTTCGCAGGTTGCTCAAGAAGAGGCAATCTGGCAGTGGGATAAAGACTGTACGTCGGCGCTAAAGAAGTTAAAGCGCGCGTTGATAGAGTACCCTGTCCTCAAAGTAGCAGATCTGTCTTTGCCATTTGTCGTCACCACGAACGCGAGTCAGTATGGAATAGGCGCCGTGTTACAGCAGGACGACGACAATGGCTATAGACCCGTAGAGTTCATGTCAGCGAGGATGCCCTCATAGAAGGTTGCTACCTCGACGTACGAGAGAGAACTCTACGCTCTCAGGCAGGCCTTAGAGCACTGGAAGCATTACCTGCTTGGGAGGCACTTCAAGGTGTACTCCGACCATGAGACTCTTACATGGTTGAAGACAGGCCAAGATGACACCTAAGTTGACTAGGTGGGCCGCTGAGATAGACCAGTATGACTTTGAGCTCAAGCCAGTGAAGGGCAAGTACAATGTAGTTGTGGACGCTCTGAGTAGGAGATCAGACTTCTTTGGAGCTATAGTTCACTATCTGGACATAGGGAGTGACCTGCAAGAGAAAGTTAGACAGGCGTATGCACATGACCCTATCTATAGTGACCTCCTCAAGAGAGTCAAGGAGGCCCCAGAGACTGAGCCAGATTACCGCACTACAGAGGGGTTATTATTTGAGAAGACTAATGTAGTAGACCGTCTATGCATTCCCAACAGTGAGGAAATCCGCAGTCTGATCCTAGGGGAATGCCATGATACAGAGGGACACTTCGGTTGGCAAAAGACTTTAGCCAATCTTATGCACGCGTATACCTGGCCAAGAATGAAATGCATAGAGTATGTCCGCAGTTGTAAAGTCTGCGAGAGGAACAAGACTACTACGCGTGCCCCTCTAGGTCTTCTCAGACCCTTGCCCATTCCAGACCAGCCTGGAGATTCAGTCCACATTGACTTCATGGATGCCGGCGTCAAGAGTAGACATGGCAAGAGCCAAGTCATGGTCGTAGTTGATAGATTTAGCAAGTATGCTATCCAAAGGCGCGTACCGAATTAGTTATCCAGAAGTTTTTCGATTTTTGGGTTAGTGAGCATGGCGTCCCATTGTCGATTGTTTGTGATAAGGATACCCGTTTTACCAGCCAAAATTGGCAGGAGCTAATGAGAGTTTACGGATCTAAGTTGTTGATGTCGTCTGGCCGCCATCCAGAGACTAACGGTCAGACTGAGCAGATGAACAAGATCCTGCAGCAAGTTCTACGCATGTACATTAGGCCAGATCAGATCAACTGGGACGAGATGTTACCCAAGGTAGCCAGTGCATACAATAACAACATGCATTTATCCACCTGTCGCACTCCCAATGAGTTGCACAAGTCCTTTAGACCGCGTAGACCGTTTGAGGGACTGAACCGGGATCAGATTCACAGGCCGCCGCCCGGTACCAGGGAGTTCGCAATACAACATGAGAAAGAGATGGCCACTGTTGTTGAAAACCTCAGGAAGGCCCAACACCGGATGATAGAGCAGGCTAATAAGCACTGTCGCCCATCACAGTTTCAGGTAGGCACTCTGGTCTGGGTCAAGTCTAAAGAGTTTGCACCTGAGGAGAACATCTCGCAGAAGTTACTGCCCGCATATAGAGGACCGTGGCCAGTTCTAGAAGAAAAGGGCGGAGAGGATGGACCGTCCTACACAATAGAGTTACCAACACACCTCCACACCTACCCCGTGTTTCACGCATCAAAGTTGTTGTCGTGTGTCACAAGTCAACAGTTTCCATCTAGACGGTCCATAATCCCTCCAGACATGGACGAAAGATATGACATTGACGGCATTGTTGGTGAAGATGTGTTCAGAACAGGAGGTAGAGGTCAGAAACAGTATAAGGTCCGGTTCGCTTATCAGGAGTCGGAGGATGACCGCTGGTTCACTAGAGCACAACTTCTAGAGACAGCTCCCGATATAGCTAGGGCCTACGAAAGAGATCAGAGAGGTAAAGGTCCTGCCTTGGACTGAATTATTCTCGGAGGACCTCGAATTTAGGCCGGCGGGAGTGAAACAGTATTCACCAGTTTGCAGTAGCTGATGCAGATCCCACAGCTCGATCCCTAGTCCCCAGCTTACCTGTGTACAGTACCTGTGTCGACCCCTAGAGTTGAACCCATGACCTGTGTATTCGTAACAGTGGTAGACTGCCGTAGGGTCCAGAGGTCGCAGGGGTTCGATCTGTAGACTTGTCGAGTAGGAGTCTTAGTCAGGTCTAGAAGTCGTAGCTGTAGCTTTCCCGAAAGGTCAAGGTCGTAGCTGCTACAATCCAGAAGGGTCAAGGTCGTAGCTGCTACAATCACGAAAGGCCAAGTCCACAGCCTTACGGAAGGTCCAGTAGTGGCCTTTCGAAGTTGCCCACGTTTAGACTGAGGCAAGTGGGCAAGTGGCAAGGCAAGTGGGCAAGTGGTGGAGCCGACCCGTGTTGAGTCAACAGTCCCATTCCCAGTCAGTCCTGGTCCAGTCAAGCAAGTACTGCATGGGACTGTGTGCACTTTGGGCATGGGAGAGGGCCAGACCAACACACTGCAGAAGTATAAATCAAGAGGCAGTGCCCAACCATTCATTCATTCCTGCGTAAGCCATGCGGAAGCGCTGCCACAACAACTTGTGCAAGGTGGTCTGTAGGGAGCCCATAGACGAAGTGGGCAGAGAGACGAAGCTTAGCCATAGTGATAGGGTGTGTGTGTGTGTTCAAAGAGTCGCGTGTGGGATATCCAGGGTGATCCATTGTATGCGAACAGAGAGTTGTATGGGCGCTGTGTCGYCATAACCATCGAAAGTGAACTCGTATCTGGGTTGCCATATCTCTGAGGACTGAGTGGGCGCATGTCACCAATTTGCTGCGCTGCTGTTTGCATGCATGTAAAGTGTGAATGAAAGCGAGTCTGATTGCAACGGGCAGGCAGGAGGCAGTCAGTAGTCTTCAGGATTCGGCAACAGCACTCTGGAGGAGCGCTGCAGGAGTAGTAGAAGCGTTAGCAGTAGTCTTCAGTGCTCGGCGCTAGTATCGTTAGCTGTAGTCTTCAGCGTTGGGCGCCATAGCAGCTAGAGTAGTACTAGAGAGAGGGATTGGGCGGAGGCCAGAGGGACTTACCTGCGGCGCCATTGCTCCAGCTTCGTCTTCAAGGTACCTGCAGCACAGCGCCATCTTCACAGGTTAGTACCTGGCACATGAGAGAGAGAGTTCTATCTCCTTCTCACCCTCTCGCTATCTGACTTCACTGCATCAGCAGACAACGAGAGAGAGAGAGAGAGAGAGAGAGAGAGAGAGAGAGAGA